TCCTGTAAAGCTGTGTACCGTTTCCACATGTTCTAGAGGTTCTGGGAGTCAGGTGCAGCCTGGAGGTTTTTATTCAGTGTGTGGAGATACATGGTACCTAGTTGGTTATACTCAGAGGACTCTTCTAGCCAAGAGATGGAGCTGCCTGGCATATCTCAACTTCCTGGTTAAGCATTTGTGTGTGTGTGTGTGTGTGTGTGTGTGTGTGTGTGTGTGTAGGTCAGAGAATTCTTGCCTTGTGTCCTGTTTGTCCCAGATATTGAACTCAGATCGTGTGGCTCCTGGCTCCTGGCAAGTGCTTTTCCTGCTAAACCATCTCACTGGTACCCACCAACTTCTGATAAAAACCATAAAACCCACAGAGCTATGGCATATCCGAAAATGCAACACAAAATATGCCACAGCCATATGTAACTAGTAGCCATGGGTGAAGCTAATCAGGTCTACTGACTCTAGACTGATGGCTAGTCATTGCCTAATTGTGGCAAGATGGGTCTTGCTTCTTTCCACCTCTGCTTCCTGTGATGTCACAGGAAGGAACTGATTTCTAGAGGCCCAGCCAGCGAGGGGGATGGAAGAAAGGAGAAGTCGACACTAGAATGGATGGAACTGGAACAGAGTCCTTGCTGGGATGGTGCAGCCACCTATCTTTCCGATAAGTGCAGTACGTGTTCTAGAATTAAGGACCAACTGTGGGAAGAGTCAGTTTTCTCTAGTTCTTCCGTTTAACCTGTCCCCCAAACCAACCTGTTCTGGGAGGACATTGTCTCAGGTGTTATCCAAGATGCAGTTGGAAAACTCTTGATGCTTTTATTTTATTTCGTTTTGCCTGCATATATGTCTACCACTTATGTGTCTGCTATAGGCAGAGGCCAGAGGGAGGGCACCGGATCCCTGGAAGTGGAATTACAGGTGCGTGTGAGCCTCAGTGTGGGTACTGGTTATTGATTGATCCCGAATCCTCTGGAAGAGCAGCCGTTGCTCTCAACAGCTCGATCATCTCTCCAGCCCCTAGAAAGCGCTTTTTGCAATATTCTTTGTTTTGACAATGCTGTTAGTTATGTGTGACGAAGGCAGCCTGCTTTGGTAACATAGTCCCATGTGCGATTACTCTGTCATTGTCATGTGCTTCAGAATAGAACGTACACATACAAGATTCAGATGAGCTACACAGCAGAGTACCCTGCACCTGAGACTCGATTCTCTTGACTTCGGAGCCATCCTTTCTGTTTGGACTATGGTTGCTTTTCCCTTCTGATTTCTCGTGTGGATTTTCTTTGTATTCTGTCCTTGAATGTTCCATATTAACACCCATTTGCTATTTTAGGGCTCCTTTCCCTTTGGTCTCATTACCAGGCATGTCTTTATGACGCTTGCATCTTTTATTCCTAGTCCTGACTTCTTTCGTGGAGTCTGGACATCCAGACTAGCACGTTCCCCCTCTGGATGTCTCTAAAACAAATACAATCCCTTTTATCTCTAAATAAGTCAGTCTTCTGTTCCTCACCCTTCCCCAACCCCAGTTTTGTCTGTCCAATGCCTCGGCTGTAAGGTAGAACAGCTCAATGCCTGTTTGATTTGTGCATGAACTCCCCTATCCTGTAGTTTTCAGCTGAGCTTTCTGAGCTAACCCTTGCCTCTCACCGAGGTCCATCGGCGTAGACCTCTCACTGTGCCAGTTGTCTGAACTCATGTAACTCTCCCGCCATCATGTTAGCGCCGCAGCTCAACTTTCTTCCCTCTCCACATCCTATGCTGCTGTCTGGTTCTCTGTGCCAGACATGGAAATAAATGTTCAGGAGAAGGCCGTGGGGATCTCACTCTGGCACCAGGAAAACTGCTCATCTTACATGCAAAGTTACAGAATTAGAATTTCCCCTTTGAAAACTTTCTCTTTGGTGTGGACAGAAATTTCACACGCGATTATCTGCAGTGCTGAAGTCAATATGAACCTTGGCTGTGGTGTTCATTCCTAATGCCCTATAGAAATACAAATGACTTTGTGCCAGCTCACTTGAGGATAGGGTAGCCTCATTTAAAACACTAAAACTTTCATTTCCTTTTAAAACCATACTAAACGAACACAGCAATTTTCGGAATCTATAAAAGATGAGAAAACAAACTATCATGGTGTCGTTATTTTGCGATGAATATCGCTGTTGTGTATTCTACTGGGAAGTGAGCTTTTGTGAGATCAAATCCCACAGCCAGTGAAGAAAAGAACTCAGTCTCATAGGCTTGAGTGTTTGGTCATCAGGGAGTGGCACTGCTTTCCAGGGATTAGGAGGTGTGGCCTTGTCAGAGTGGGTGTGGCCTTGTCAGAGTGGGTGTGGCCTTGTCAGAGTGGGTGTGGCCTTGTCAGAGTGGGTGTGGCCTTGTCAGAATAGGTGTGTCACTAGAGGTGGGCTTTGGGTTTCAAATGCTTAAGCCAGGCCTGAAGCTTGAGTTTGAATTTTTTTTTCTGAGACAGGGTTTCTCTATAGTTTTAGACCTATCCTGGAACTTGCTCTTGTAGACCAGCCTAGCCTCCAATTTACAGAGGTCCGCCTGCCTCTGCCTCCTGAGTGCTGGGATTAAAGGCGTGGGCCACCACTGCCTGGCTTAATTGTCCTTATTAAAAACCTGGAGTCAGATATTAGGGGGTGAAATCAGTGCAGCCAGCCTCTAGAGAGACCTTTTACCTCCATTGAACCCTCAGACCAACAGGGAGATCCTGTCTTCAGACTGCCTCCTCAGACTATACAGACTGACTGCATCCCCAGTCTGCACCTGAGCTCCTGTCTCCTCCCACCTTATAGTCCTCTCTCTGCCCAGCACTGTCCCCTCCTGTTTCCACCTCCCTAGTGCTGGGATTAAAGCTGTGGGACTCCTAAGTACTGGGGTAAGAGGTGTGAGCGCCATCACTGCCTGGCCTCTAGTGGCTTAGCTTTGTGCTCTGATCTTCAGGCAAGCTTTGTTTGTTAAAACACAAACAAAACATCACAACGCAGGCCCAGTGTCTCTGTATTTCTGCTGCATGCAGATCCATGTAGAACTCTTTGGCTCCTACAATACCATGTCTGCCAGCAACCACCATGCTTCCCACCATGCTGATAATGGCCTAAACTTCTGAAACTGTAAGCCAGCCCCACTCCAATGCTTTCCTGTAAAAGAGTTGCATGACCATGGTGTCCTTCACAAGAGAACCCTGAGACAGTCTAGGTTGGGTTTGAAATAATAGCAAGTTATAAGCCCCAATATAATTTCTTTAACAAAAAGAAAAAGAGAAAGAAACCCTGGCATCTCCATGCTCGAAAGCTCATCTTCATTCGTCTTTAGGGCTCTTCAGCCTTTGCGCTGGTTTGTCTTGGCCTCTGTGGTTGGTGTGGCATGCAGGAACTAGAAGTGGTAGAGGACTTTCTGCTGCCGTGGCTTGTCCGTTGCGCCTGTAACCCACTGGTCAGAATTAGCCAAGTTGCATGCTGGGAGGTGAGTGGTAAAACTGTGTTAGCTTCCTGTCCAGTTGCTGTGAGAGCTGCCTTGTCAGAGCTGCTTAGAGGAGGAAGTGTTTATCCCTTGCAGTTCATCGCAGCAGGGAAGCCACAGTGGCTGGTGCTGGAGGAAATGCAATCAGGAACAGAGAGCCATGACTGCATGCATGCTTCTCCTCTCCCAGCCCAGGGAATGGTACTACCCACAGCAGGTCCCCCTATCTCAAGTAATGCAATCGATGAAACACCCCTTAACCCCTTTTTAAAGGACAATATAGACATTCTTTCTTGCTAGAGGTAAGAATTAATCCATTTGGTGACGTGAGTCCTGGCACAATGACTTCACAGACTTCTCAAGCCTGGGGACACTCCCATGGAGGTCTCAGTTTTCACGCATGCTCAGTTCTGTTGATTTTTGCACTGTGTCGTCTTCTACACAGGAGTCTCATTAACCCTTATTTCAAAGGCGGCAGCACAGGAGTGAGTAGAGGGCCTTGGGTAGCCTCCGGCGGTTTTTGAAATCCGGAATTGGCTATCAAACTTTGAAAACAGAGAACTTATCATGGCTTACGAGCCTCCCCACCCCTGCTCAGGGCAGGAGCCTCAGGGATGAAGACAGCTTAGCTAGCTCTTCACCTGGCTCACACAGCCGCTGTGTCTGGGTTTAAGAAGCCCGTTTCCTCCAGGGCTCACGGTATTGCATCTCACAGTAGCTTAGAAGGGGTCTCCAGGCCAGGACATTGCAACAGAGCTTTGAAGCAGCTGCCAGGTGTATGTCCTCCTCTGATTTTCTTCCACACAGCACAGCTTGGTCGCATGGGTAAGGGTTCTGAGTCATGACGTCATCTCTCCCGAGTCACTAGTCACCTCTCCTGTGGCTAGTTTCTGAATCTCCTTGGTCCCTGAAGGTGAGCTTTGGCTCCTTCTTTCCGGGAAGGTGGCCTCCTTACTCACACCCAGTCCCAGAGATGGAGTCTTACCACATTGTAGTCTGTTGCTGAATGGTAGTCAAAACCCTGAGCTGGAGCATCACAGGGTCAGCTCTGATTCAGATGCATCGGCTTCCTGGAACTATCAACAGTCTACCAAATACTGCCATCTTCATCCACAGGGAAGAGAAAATGGCGGATTCAGGAAAATAAGCCCTTTGGTAACTTAACTTTCTAAAAGGGTAGAAAATTCTATCTTTGCATGCATACAACTGGTCAATATTCTCTCCCCAGACAGTGCAGAGCTCTGATCCCCAATGACTGTTTTAATTTAGAAGACATCTCTCATTAAACTCTTGCGCCTCAGAATGGAACACACAGGGGAGCAAACCCTTCCCTAAATTAAAAATATTATTCAGTGGGAACTGCAACTTTTAACCAATATGGATTTTAATAACCTAAATATTAAAAAACCCTCCCTAGCACAGAAGTCAGAGGTGACTGTGGTTTTAATATTGCTATATACATATGAGAACACTGACTTCAAACAATCCAGTTGTGTTAGAAAACACACATGACAAATGGAAACTCTTACCAGATGTCAAGTTGCCTTTTTTAATATTTTGATGAATTCAGGGACCTAGAAAGTGCCTTTTGTTTCATTTGCTTTTTAAAATTTTGTTTCATAATCTTTAAGCTTGTAGAAAGGGAAGAAAGAAAAATAACAGACACACTAGACACAGCGAGAGCCTCAGTAGGCGGCTTCTCTTTCGGGTGTTTCCCCCTGGAGAAAATACAGTGAGCAGCGGCACTGGCTGGGACGTCAGGTCTCACGGCACCGCAGCTCACACCTTCCCTTCCGCAGCCTGCCCACTTGCCCGGCTTCCTTGGGCCTTAGTTTAATTCTGGTGACACCAAAGAATTAAAGGTGACTGCGCCAAATCTCGGACAGGGGTCAAAGGTCAGCATGCCACTGTATGAGCCCAGAACGTCTTCCGTCCCGGGCATCAGCATCCTCCAACTTCAGGCTAAGAGAATCACTGCCCTGTCCAAGAGCACGTCTTAATTTAGGGTGGTTTTAGTGTCTGTGGGTTGAGTACCAGTAGAGTTAGTGCATTGTCCTGGGTCCCAAGGCTCCACCTAAGAAGCAGAAGGTAGGTCCACGCGGGCTTCCTGCCTGTACAGCGTGGCTGTATATATAGACCAGGGATTTGGATTTTTTTAGGAGTCAACAGCTGAAACTGTCTTGAAACACCTGAAAGCTTTAATCGTTGTGAGAAATGCCATGTGGCCCTTGGTGGCTGAAAGATCTGGAGGCCTGAGGGTCCACCGGAAGAGCCTGGCTCAGAGTGCAGTGCCTTGGCTGGTGGGGCCTCGCCACAGAGCAGATTCCATCTTTGCTCGTCTCTGTCTGGCTCTACCGCCTCACATAGCCTCCCCAAATAATCTACCCACCCAGGTTATTTTCCGCCTCGATAAGTTCTGGTTTCAAGATTCAACACGAAAACAGTTCGGGGGAAGGAATTATGATCTGCTCTGTGTTGAAATACCATTACTGTAACAGTCCTAAATGTGCCATTGGAATCTGCTCGTCCTCCTATGGCCGGTGCATTTCTTAGGTTTCCCTCCCGCAGGCGCAGGGAGAGCAAACACTCAGCTCCTCAAGCACCACAAATACAAACCAGCTTGCTTTCTCTCCATGCTTTCGAAAGGCAAACGCACCACAGCAAGTTTCTGAATGCTTTCTGTCACCTTCGAGTGTTGCTTTAATACCAGTACACTTAAATAGCATCTGCACCCAGCACTAGTTCCTGGCCAAGCTTCTCTTCTTCCATGATCTTAGCATGCATGTGACCTGAAGCACATTCTCAGTCAGCTCTGTGGCTTTCCGTTTGTGCAGCCCTGCACAGAGTCCTGGGGACCGTGACCCCTCCTCCAGTTATCTGTTCAGCGTGTGATGTGTGAACCCCGAAGCACCAGGTGTGTAGAACTCTGAGCCCATCACGTTTCATGGCCATGAAGAAGCTGTCCAGTAGGAACACGGAAGGTTAGGAAGCTTCATGAGATTTTCTTTTTAACTCTCGGAGTTGCGTTTTTAATCTTTAAAAAAAAATTTTGAGTCAGACTCCCAGCCACCAAAGGGTGGCTTCCTGCCTCTGACCTGTTTGCTGCAATTCGAAGAAATAAATTCCAGCCAGCCGTGACAGGCTGCAGTCAGCATGTGAGACAAGTCCAAGGCCTATCGATTGAGCAGGGGGGGAGGTCTTCCCCCCACCCCCTGGCCTGGCTTCCTGCTGCACCGGAGAGTCTGTGCCCTGCGCTGTTTTTTAGCTTGAGTCTTCTCAAGCGTGAAAACACAGTTACGGATTGTTCTGGGAGCTAAATGGCTCGGCATCTTGGCACTTGGCTGTTTTTTAGCTTTTCAACAATAGCCACTGTTTGCTCCCTGCATCTCCATCCTTCCTTCAGCGATGAGGCGGGCATCTGATGAAAGGCTGGTCACGGCATGCTCCCGTGGTGTCAGTGCGGTGGCATGTGATGGTTCACATGGGGTGTGTTTGATCCAAGGAAGCCCAGCCTCTGCTTGTTCTTCCTTTGTTCTGTCATCTGGGGAGAGAAAGAGAGAGCGCCTTCAGCTGCTTTTCCTGATTCTTCCTCCAAGAACCCGCTGTCTGCTTCCCCACAGAACATATTCACCACAAAAGCTCTTATTTTAAAAAGTAAATAACCAGAAATAGAGGGGAGAAAGACCAACTCCTCTCTCCATGGTTAGGAAACAGGAAGCAGGGTTGTTTAGAGACACATCTGCTACATTCTTATCACCGTGGCTGGAATCATTTAACAGCTCCAGAGGGGCCTGGTGATATTCTGTTTTGTGAGTGCTAAGGATGTTATACGATAAAAGGGTTTTGATCAGGACTTTAGCGTGGTGGCTATTAGTGAATCCCTGCCTTTCCAGTGAGCTTGGAAACGCAAAGCCAAGCAGGCAGTAAGAGCTATCACCAGTAGCAGAGGGGTCCCGCCTTGTCTTCCCACAGCACAGCTGGGGACGGCACAGCTGGGCACAGCCGTAGGCGGCTCTGCTCACTGACCTGCTCCTTCAGCTCTGCCAGCTGCCCGGAGAGCTGCTTCACCAGACTCATGGTGCTCTCCAACTTCTCCTGCAGGTTCCGCATCTCATTCTGCTCACCGTCTCCCTCATTGCTGACAAGGGACATGGCTCGCATCCGGGGAAACCAGTCCAAATTCTTCTCCTGAGAGAAAATAAATGCGGGAACCGGGCAGTGAGTGTGGGTGGCAGCCGGAGGCACTACACAGAATATTCCTGGTTATTATTATTGAAATGTAAATCAGTGTCTCACTTGGGCAGGGCGGTGCACATCTGTAATCCTATCATTCTGGAAGCCGAGGCAGGAGCTGGTCTTGGTGTTCAAGGCCAGTACGGGCTGCGTAATGAATTTCAGACCAGCCTGGGCTACAAAGCAGGACTGTCTCCAATAAAACCCAAGGCACAAAGTCTCTCAGCTTATACAATAAAAGATCCCTCTCTGGCCTGGGGCAGGAAGAGCCAGGATTGGTCCTCGTGGACTGGGAAAGACCTAAACAATGGCTTCCTGCAGGCTCCCAGGTGGTCCTGGCGAAGCAGCCGTGGGTGTCTGGTGATTCTGGAGTCTTGTGGCAGCAAGAGCAGATGTAAGTGTGTGTGGGGGGGGATAGGAGAAGCACACACTGCTCAGTAGGAGGTTGGTAGAAGGTTTCAGTTCCTGCCACCATGCTGGGTTCCTGCCCACGTCCTCTACCAGTTCTGTGGCCTCCAGCTCCGGTGGGGAGCAGAAGGTCATGGCCTGGGGTTAGACTGTCTGTTCCCTTTGGAAGCACTATCACTGTGGAGTGTCTTCCCCTGAAGGCAATAGCTGCTGCCACTTTCACCATTTTCTGGGCAGCCTGGGTGTGTCCTCTGTGTGTGTTTTCCCTCCATTGTGGTAGTCTCAAACTCTGACTGGTGAATTCCACAGAGTCGGTGTGCATAACTTAGCACGCAGAGTCTTCATTTACTCTGGAAATTGTAACGTGTCCCCCATCTCCAGCATGTCAATCACCCATGTCAGAATGGGGACACACCGACCTTTGCACCACAGACCATGTAGGGTTGTGTCTCTACCTACCATCACCTGTCACCACTGCAGGAGCCTCTTGCTTACAACCCAACCTCTCCCCTCCCAGGTAAGTCCTGAGAAGACTCTGCCCGGGCTCTGAACCCACAGAGTGCAGTGGGGAGAGGTGTTTGTTCTGCCATTCATCTTGACCCTTCTGGTCCTTGGCATGGCTTGTTGTTGTTGTTGTTGTTGGTGGTGGTGGTGGTGGTGGTGGTGGTGGTGTGGAGGGCGAGAAGGGGAGGGAGAGAGGAAGGGAGGGAGGTTTCAGAGTAACAGATTCATTCAGCTACTCCCATCACACCTATAGTCAGGCATTTAGGGCTCACAGTCATGTGTGTGGCTCAGAGGACCAACAGCCAGAGTTAGTTCTTTCCTTCTGCCGTGTGATCATACTCACACTGGGGATCACACTCGGACTGGGGTTCACTCGGGGTGGGGATCACACTTGGACTGGGGATCACACTTGGACTGGGGATCACACTCGGACTCCCAGCTCCGGCAGCAAGCACCATCCTGGGCCTTGAGAGGCAGAGTTAGAACTGAAGCCAGGGGTGATGTTTGTGCTGCCGACCAGATGATTTTACTGCCATGGACCTGTATTTAAGGTGATGCAGGTGGTAACCTCAATATCATCCTTTCCCCCTACGGTGACTCTTAGGATGGACCCTACAGAGTCCCTGGTGCCATCCTGAAGGTGGCCAACTAAGCAATGGGATGGTTCAGTTGCCAGCCAGACTCTGAGATGAAGCACAACAGAGACTCCCCCTCCGTCCCCTACCGATCACTAGAGGAGGACTTTGCCTGGAAACTGCCCTTTGCTCAGAGGTTAAAGGTGGTCATGTCTTCAAGTCAGAGTTCCAGAATTCTCCAGCTCTTCTTCTGGGGTGGGAAGCAGGTGCCCCCAGAGGTGAGACTATGGGAGAGGAGATGGGACAGGGAGAGCTGAGGGGATGAAAATAAAGGCTGATGTCTTTGTGTGTGAGAACATCTCCGGCTTTTCAGGGCAATGGGTGGCACGGGGACTATCAATAGATGTGTTGTGCTTTCTCCCATAGGAGGAATCGAGTTAAATTCAGATCCTTACATACCGAACACCCACATGTACACATGCATACATAAAAGTAGACTACAAGAGGTCAGAAGAGACATTAAGGCAGGGTGGGGATAAAGAAGATAATGGGACACGTGACTTGGAAGGGGTTCCTCAGGGGCAGACGTGTTGGGGTTCATCTGGTGACACAGGGTCAGATGATCCCAGGAAACATGGCAATTAATGCCCCAAGTGAGGGAGGGTGAAGATATCCCTTCCACGATCAGGCAGAATGTCCTCAACGGACCGCTCTACCGAAGAGAACATAAGGCAGGTTTGTGAAGCCATCTCTGCAAAGAGGCTCCTGCAGGCGCCCGGCTGGATAGGTCATGTCCAATGCTGCCCGCTTTTGAGGAGACAATGGCAGCTCTCACTGAGCAGATTCTGCTGGAGCTGCCTGGCCACGGGACTCTCATTCCCCACTCTGTCTGCGCTCGTCCCTTTGTTCACTCATTCCTTTCATAATTCCCGCTTGTGAATCCGCGCCCGTGCTAGGCACTGGGGAACAATGGTGAGCAGCCCCCAGCCTGTGCCCTGTGCTTTTCTAACCCACAGGCAGGCGGTCACCAATGACAAAGAAAAGGAGGTGCCGGGGAGCAGCGATGGTCTGTTCCTGTCCTCAGGGGTCCATTCTCTCTCTTTACCCACTCTGAGTATTTCTGGCTGCTCTAATTTGTCACATTTCTCCCTCTGTCTGTCTGTCTGTCAACCGATCAAGGCTGAAATGAAGATATATAAGTAATTTTCTAATGTTTAAAAAATGCTGAGATTCCTTGTCCCTTTTCCCTAGACATGGAGTCTGGACTTGCACTTCCAATTCTACCTGTCTCTGCTGTGCCCACTTGGCTCTTCTCTAGGCAGGCTCTAGATTTATATTGCCAACTCTTCCCATACTCATGACCTTAAGATTTACCCTCTCCAACGAGGGTCACTATACCACATATGCAACTCCTGCAACAGGCATGAAGAAGACATGCCCTGGGCCTGCCTCCCCTCGCCCCATCCCTCACATAGGGATTCCAGTATAGTATATCCAACTCCTGTAGGACCTGTCACCCGAAGAAAACTTCTGACCCCTGAAACTTGCCTATGAGCATCTTCTAACTTTACAGAAGTCTGCTCTGGGCTTAGAAACCTCACTGAGCTCAAGCTGAGCCAAGTCTACTTTTGATGCCCTCCTTAAACATCAACACTGAATTGCCCTTAGCCCCATACAGCTGGTCAGCTGTCTGACAAACTGGTGTAATGGGACCAGAACTTCAGCCAACCATTTAACACAGAAGACAATATTTCTACAACAAGCATTATCAGTGACCTTACCCCAGATGCCTAGATCCCACCTCAAACATGGACAACTAAAAATTAATATTCCCATTGTAATGTCCCCTGAGAAAAGCCACTTAGATGATACACAGATAAGGATTCAAGGAGGGATGAATAAATGCCAAATTGAAGACTGCAAAAATATAGTTGGACGAAATAACAAAAACAACTCAAGATATGAAAACAGAATTTAGTGAAGAGATACAATCTCTGAAGAAATGCCACATGAAATAAAGCTTGAAATAAAAAAATTATGAGTTCAAACAAAAAATTCAGAGGAAAATTTAACCAATAGATTGGATCAGGTGGAAGAGAGAGTATCAGCCTTAAAGACAAAGAGGAGTTGGATCACTCAAAGTGTCAAATCCCCTCCAAGCCCCAAGAACAGACCATGCGGGAACTCGCTCTATAAAAAGATCAAACATATAGAACAATATTATAAAATAGAAACTCCCTAATTTAAGAAATGAGATGCCTATCAAGGCCCAAGAGGCATACAGAACCCTAAATAGACAGGACCAGAAAAGAAATTCCCCACATCATGTAAATAGAACACTAGAACACCCAATATACAAAACAAAGGCTATTGAAGAGACAAGAAAAAGATCAAAAGGCAGGCCCACCAGAATAACAGTACATTTTCCAATGGAGACTGGAACCCAGAAGGAACTAGACCCCTGCACACTCTATAAGCTATGAAAGACAATGGACGGCAGTGCTACTGTGCCCAGCAGAGCCATCAGATTTCAGTTATGGCCGCTAATTCAGCTCCATCAAAGACACTGAAAAGAATACTCATATCTGAAATAAAGGACAAATATGGGCAGGAAGGCACAAAAGCAATTCCAAAACACCAAAAGAGAACACCGTAAAATCAACAAAATGACAAATTGATACACATTTTTTTGAGAATATATCTTAATATTAACTGATAATAAAATTGATTTACAATAAAACCAATTCCCTAATAAATAGAAACAGAACAACAGGCTGGATCAGAAAACAACAGGATCCATCTTTTTGCGACCTCCAAGACACACAATTCTGGGCCAGTGATAGACACATCAAAGTAAAAGGGAGGAAAAAAGTTTTCAAGCAAATGGGAAGAGGAGTCAGGCGGCAGAACGATTCTAATATTAGACAAAATAGACTTCAAGTGAAAACCAATCAGAAGAGACACATATGGATACTTTATCTTCATTAGCAGAAACCCAACTGGATATTACAATCCTAAGCACGTGTGAACACCAAACTTCATAAAAGAAGAACTATTACCCTGACACCATAGACCAACACCAACACAGCGATGGTGATGACCCCAGTACTCCACAGAAACAGACTCATTGATGAATGGAATAGAAATGAGGACTCGCATATAAACCCTGACCCTACATCCACCCAACATTTGACAAAAGCCAACAAACAAGCATTGGAGAAAAGATGCATCCAGCAAATGTTGCTGTCAAACTGAATGGCTACAGGAGACAAGTGAAATCTCACCCGTATCTTTCACACCTTAAAAAACCATACTCCAAAGGGATTAATGATGTGGGATTCCCCTCTGTGTGCTGTGAATACCATTGGTCTTGAGCTCGTGATAGGGTAGAACAGAGGTAGGCGAGGAAAACTAAACTGAATGCTGGGAGAAAGAAGGGTAGAGTTAGAGAGAAGCCATGGAGCCTCT